CTATTATAACATATAATAATAATCTATGATAATTTTTTTTTTTTGCAGATTAAACATAAATGCCCGGTATGTGACGAAGTGACAGGCGCAAATGGTATTATTCAGCGTATATTTCTTGATATCCACGAGAAAAATGAGAAAAATTCAAAAATGGAAGAGACAAGTGAAGTAGTAAATGAGGTAATTTCTTCTCCCTCAATAATAGTTTTATAATATTTCAAAAAAAAAAAAACAAAATGAAATTATTTGCTATCAAAAAATTTTTTTGAATTTTTATTTCAATAATAATTTTCAACATAATTTAATGAATGATAGAACTTTTTTAATGAATGATGAATAATATTAGCATAAAAATTGCATTTTATAAAAAAAAAAAAAAAAAAAATTATGAAAATTTGTTTAGTGTTTAAATTAATTTGTGTAAATTTTTATTAAAACTTTAGCTTATTGATAATTTTTATTATAAAATAATTTCAGATTCAAGGTAATCTGAGCAAAGTGGAAGCAGAACTTGAACTTATTCATTTGCGCATAGAGCGCAATTCGGCATTACTACGTGTGCTGTCACATATGATAAACATTTGTGTCAATGCTCTTCGAATGCGATAATTAATTATAATTAATTATAGATAATTATAGTTTCAAAAAAAAAAAAAAAAAGAAAAACGAAGAGAAATAATTTAAGAAACTAACAAAAATATAATTTAGGATTGTATATATGTGTTTATTTTTTAAAAAAAGAAAAAAAAAAAGAATTTCTGTATGTATTGTGTTTATTAGGTAACGTAAGCTTTACCAAGTAAAATGTATATTTACCTGTTTATTTACCTAACAATTTTCTTTATTTACTTATCTAATTTTTTTTTCCCCCTACAATTACTAATGTTTTCAATGAAAAGAAAAGGAAAAAGAAAAAGGAAAAACGAGAAAGAGAAATTATATTTATCCTAAAAAGAAATTATTATATAAATTATAAAACAATTATACTTATATTCAAAAATGAAACTTTAAAATTTTAGTAGCAATTCAATCTCAATAAAGAAGTTTTAATTTTCGAGAAAGAGAAATTATATTCATCCTAAAAAGAAATTATTATATTTATTATATAAATTATAAAACAATTATACTTATATTCAAAAATGAAACTTTAAAATTTTAGTAGCAAATTCAATCTCAATAAAGAAGTTTTAATTTTCGAGAAAGAGAAATTATATTCATCCTAAAAAGAAATTATTATATTATTATATAAATTATAAAACAATTATACTTATATTCAAAAATAAAACTTTAAAATTTTAGTAGCAATTCAATCTCAATAAAGAAATTTTAATTTTTTTTAATTTTTTTTTTTTTTTTTGCTTTCAATATTACCATCAATTGAATGAAATTTTGCTATTTACAAATGATTTATATTGTTTTAGGATGAAAATTTGCTTATTGTATAATTAGCTAAAATAAATTTTTTGAAAAAAAAAATTTTTTTTTTTTTTTGTTTAAAGTTAGTTTTTTGAATAAATCAAATTTCATAAAGGAAAAAATACTAGAAAAACAAAAAAAAAAAATGAAAATGAAAATATCTTCGCTTTATTAATTAAATGAAAGTGTCATCAAAAAATAAATTATAGTAGCAGACGTACTTCTTACTTCTGACGTGTAACGTGTCCTATTATTAGCACTTTATCACGTATAACGTGTCCTATTATTAGCACTTTATGACGTATAACGTGTCCTGCTATTAGCACTTTATGACGTATAACGTGTCCTATTATTAGCACTTTATGACGTGTAACGTGTCCTACTATTAGCACTTTATGACGTATAACGTGTCCTATTATTAGCACTTTATGACGTATAACGTGTACTATTATTTAACACTTTAATGATCAACAATAGACGTGCGCTAAGGGTCAATTGCCTAATTAACTGGAATGATCGCAGCGTTTAATTTCTTTTACTAAATTTTAATGAAATAGAAAATTTATTTTGTTTTGAATGAATACTAATTCATAATTTCGCTATTGAACAGGTAATCATGAACTGTTTTTGAATCGATTAATAAAGGTTTTATTTCCGGTTTTCTTAGACAAATTCGGAAAGGAATATCTTCAAACAGAGAAAACGGCAAAGAAAAAAAGCATAAAATTAAAATGGATAATACTTTCCGAAAAAAATGTGATTTCGCTATTGGACAGGTAATCATGAATTCTTTGAGTCGGTTAATAAAGGTATTATTTCCGGTTTTCATAGACAAATTCGGAAAGGAATATCTTCAAACAAAGAAAACGGCAGGGAAAAAAGCATAAAATTAAAATGGATAATACTTTCCAAAAAAAATGTGATTTCGCTATTGGACAGGTAATCATGAATTCTTTGAGTCGGTTAATAAAGGTATTATTTCCGGTTTTCATAGACAAATTCGGAAAGGAATATGTTCAAACAGAGAAAACGGCAAAGAAAAAAAGCATTAAATTAAAATGGATAATACTTTCCGAAAAAAATGTGATTTCGCTATTGGACAGGTAATCATGAATTCTTTGAGTCGGTTAATAAAGGTATTATTTCCGGTTTTCATGGACAAATTCGGAAAGGAATATCTTCAAACAGAGAAAACGGCAAAGAAAAAAAGCATAAATTAAAATGGATAATACTTTCCAAAAAAAATGTGATTTCGCTATTGGACAGGTAATCATGAATTCTTTGAGTCGGTTAATAAAGGTATTATTTCCGGTTTTCATAGACAAATTCGGAAAGGAATATGTTCAAACAGAGAAAACGGCAAAGAAAAAAAGCATAAAATTAAAATGGATAATACTTTCCAAAAAAAATGTGATTTCGCTATTGGACAGGTAATCATGAATTCTTTGAGTCGGTTAATAAAGGTATTATTTCCGGTTTTCATAGACAAATTCGGAAAGGAATATCTTCAAACAAAGAAAACGGCAGGGAAAAAAGCATAAAATTAAAATGGATAATACTTTCCAAAAAAAAATGTGATTTCGCTATTGGACAGGTAATCATGAATTCTTTGAGTCGGTTAATAAAGGTATTATTTCCGGTTTTCATAGACAAATTCGGAAAGGAATATCTTCAAACAGAGAAAACGGCAAAGAAAAAAAGCATAAAATTAAAATGGATAATACTTTCCAAAAAAAAATGTGATTTCGCTATTGGACAGGTAATCATGAATTCTTTGAGTCGGTTAATAAAGGTATTATTTCCGGTTTTCATAGACAAATTCGGAAAGGAATATCTTCAAACAGAGAAAACGGCAAAGAAAAAAAGCATAAAATTAAAATGGATAATACTTTCCGAAGAAAAAAAAAGACAAACTATAAAATAAATTGCTTAAAGGACAATAGCAACAATTCCAAAAATTTTCAAAAGAAAAAAAAAAGTGAAATTATTTAGAAATTAAATTCAAGGACCATTTCAAAAAAAAAAAAAATCATTTAAAATCAAAAAAAAAAAGTGACAATAAAAGTCGAAAAATCCCATTAACAATCATTGAATTTGTAAAATCGGAAAATACGCCATTATTCTCGGTATGACAAAAGAGCAACCATCAGGTTTTTTTTTGACATACAATCAGGAAATTTCCGGATTTCATATCAATAAATCAGAAATTCTACTTATCAAAATAAGTCTCAAGCAAATTTCAATACTATTTTAAAAAATATAAATATGAAAATATGACCGTTATGACAAATTTTAGTATTTTCCGTTATGACAAAAGAGCAACCATCAGGTTTTTTTTGACATACAATCAGGAAATTTCCGGATTTCATATCAATAAATCAGAAATTCTACTTATCAAAATAAGTCTCAAGCAAATTTCAATACTATTTTAAAAAATATATATATGAAAATATGACCGTTATGACAAATTTTAGCATTTTCCGTTATGACAAAAGAGCAACCATCAGGTTTTTTTTGACATACAATCAGGAAATTTCCGGATTTCATATCAATAAATCAGAAATTCTACTTATCAAAATAAATCTTAAGCAAATTTCAATATTATTTTAAAAAAATATATATGAAAATATGACCGTTATGACAAATTTTAGTATTTTCCGTTATGACAAAAGAGCAACCATCAGGTTTTTTTTGACATACAATCAGGAAATTTCCGGATTTCATATCAATAAACCCAAAATTCTACTTATCAAAATAAATCTTAAGCAAATTTCAATATTATTTTAAAAAAATTATATATGAAAATGTGTGAAAAAACATTACAAAATATTAACTAAAATAAAATAAAATACAATTGACTTACTTTTTACTCATTAAAAATAAAAGTAAAAGTAACGATGAAAGAAAAGTATTACAACAAGAATTGTCAATAAAATTCTTAAAATGTTTATTATCACTTTTTCTTCTTTTTATTTAAAGCAAAAAGAAAGATTGAAATTAAATTAAAATATATTCTTCTAGAAACATAACTATAATTTCATTCAAAGTAATAAATTTTGATTTAAAAAAAAAAAAAAAAAAAAAAAAAAAACGAAAAGAAAATTACTATTTTTGTTTTTTTTTTTTTTTAAAAATTAATTTTTTTTTTCATAAAAAATTAAAAAATAAAATTAAATGTGATCAAAAAAGCAAAGTATTTTTTGTTGTATTAAATTTCAAAAAAAAAAAAAAGAAAAATAAATAATATAAAAAATAAAACTTAGATAGGTCAGAGATCAATAATAATAAAATTTTTCAAACTTTTTTTTTTTTCTTCAAATTTCTACTATTATTTCAAATATTAGCTTTTCTCATCGGTTGCTAATGCAATGAAAATTATTTTTTTTTTTTTTATTTTCTACTTTTTATTTTGTTTATTTATTTGTTTGTTTGTTTATTTGTTTGTTTTCTTTTAAATTATATCAATTATAAGTCAGATAAATATCAAATAATTTAAAATAAATTTAATTAATTAAATTTCTAGCATATTTCAGGATAGATTTTATGAGTGCGAAATATTTAATACACAAAACTTTTGTATCAAATTAATAACCAGGTGCTGTTCGTGGTTGTGGACAATGATCACAGCTACCGGTTGTACCATATGTACCAGCTGGACCTAAACTACCAGGTATTCCAGGTTTACCAGGTGTACCATCTTTACCAGCATTTCCACGCTGTCCAGGTGGACCAATTCTACCTGGTGCACCTGGAAAACCTCGAAAACCTGGTCTTCCAGGTAAGCCAGGTTGACCTACGAAACCTGGTGGTCCTCTTGGTTGCTCCTTTACGATTACTCGACCTGGTATTCCTGGTGGTCCTTTGATTCCTGAAATGAAATTACCAAAGTTTTCATCGTTTGGCACTAACGCTTTTATAACAATCACTTACCAGGTACTCCAGGTGTACCAGGTGGTCCAATCAAACCCGGTGGTCCTGGAGGTCCTCGTCGTCCACCTTCAGCTGGAAATCCAGCTTGTCCTGGTCTTCCAGGTGGTCCTTTAGGTCCCGGTTTACCAGCTGCACCTGGTGGACCATCTTCACAATCAAAACACCATTCCTAAAATTATGCAGATATTAGCAATGATCTCGAATTGAATTGCTATCATCAAATTTTAAAAATTTGAAAAATATTTTAATCTTACTAGCGGTATATTATGAGGTTCAATAATAGCAGCATCTGGGGCGTCTTTTCCTGGTTCTCCTCTCTTACCATCTGCGCCATCTCTACCATCTAAACCTGGTGGTCCAGGTAGTCCAGGTGGAGAAATTCCACATCCGCAACACGCCATGATAGCATCATACTTATTTTGTTTACGTAACACGTCATCTACGTCAAAATTTGCTACACCTGATCGTTTTAATCGTAATGTACCAATTAACTTCGCATGATACTAAATTAATAAAAATTAAAAAATTAATCAAAAATTAAATGAATAAAAAAATTAATAAATAATTAATCAATGTTGAAAAAATTAAAAAAAAAAATCTTTTTTAAACACTCATAAATAATTTAATTCAATTATACTCAAACAAATACATAAATTATTTTTATTAATTCATTTTCAATTAAAAAAAAAAAAATTCATTTCAATTAAAATTTTCATAGCATAATTAATTAATCAAAATAACACATTTACGATTTTTTTTTCCATTTCTAATTATAAGAAAAGATTTATTTTTTTAAAAAAAAAAAAATGAGAAAAATTTATTATAAAATTTTGCATTTTGGACTATTTAATGAATGTTATCAGTGACTAACTAATTTATAAGTATATTTAATAATTTTTTTATTTTGATAAAATGATAAAATTGATAAATTGATAAGAAGCAAAAATCAAAGATTAAAAATTTATTACAAAATTTTGCATTTTGGACTATTTAATGAATGTTATCAGTGACTAACTAATTTATAAGTATATTTAATAATTTTTTTATTTTGATAAAATGATAAAATTGATAAATTGATAAGGAAAAGTTCAAAGATTAAAAATTTATACAAAATTTTGTATTTAAGCTATTTAATAAATGTTATCAATGAAATATATATTTAATAATTTCTATTTTGATAAAATTGATAAATTGATAAGAAGAAAAAATCAAAGATTAAAAATTTATTACAAAATTTTGCATTTTGGACTATTTAATGAATGTTATCAATGACTAACTAATTTATAAGCATATTTAATAATTTTTTTGTTTTGATAAAATGATAAAATTGATAAATTGATGATAAGAAAAATCAAAGATTAAAAATTTATTACAAAATTTTGCATTTTGGACTATTTAATGAATGTTATCAATGAAATATATATTTAATAATTTCTATTTTGATAAAATTGATAAATTGATAAGAAGAAAAAATCAAAGATTAAAAATTTATTACAAAATTTTGCATTTTGGACTATTTAATGAATGTTATCATGACTAACTAATTTATAAGTATATTTAATAATTTTTTATTTTGATAAAATGATAAATTGATAAATTGATAAGGAAAAGTTCAAACATTAAAAATTTATCAGAAAATTTTGTATTTAAGCTATTTAATAAATGTTATCAATGAAAATATATATTTAATAATTTCTATTTTGATAAAATTGATAAATTGATAAGAAGAAAAAATCAAAGATTAAAAATTTATTACAAAATTTTGCATTTTGGACTATTTAATGAATGTTATCAATGACTAACTAATTTATAAGTACATTTAATAATTTTTTTGTTTTGATAAAATGATAAAATTGATAAATTGATAAGAAGCAAAAATCAAAGATTAAAAATTTATTACAAAATTTTGCATTTTGGACTATTTAACGAATGATATCAATGACTAATCAATTTATAAGTATATCTAATAATTTCTATGCTGATAAAATTGATAAATTGATGATAAGGAAAGGAACAAAGAAATAAATTACCTGTGTACGAATTATTTCACGCCAAATATGATCTGATCTTGATCGGCAAAATTCAATTTGATCAATCATTACTGATTGCATTTGTTGTAAATAATTATAGAACATTGGAACCGATATGACACAGAGTAAGGTTGCTACGGTTGACATTGTCACACCACAAAATGCTATTCGACGTAAACAATTTGCTTCTTGTTGTAATTTAATATCTTTAATTAATCCTTCCTTATCTGTCATTTCTTTTAGCTTTTTACCTGTAATTTTCTCTCTTTTCTTTTTTGTTTGTTTGTTTGTTTGTTTATTTTTTGGTAAATAAAATTTTACGATTACAATTTGCAATTTTGCAATAAAAAAATTTTTAATTCAACAAATTTAAATTCAAAATTTAATAGAACAATTATCAAAAACGATATCATCATTGAGGAATGATAATGAAGTATATATCGTATCATTAAGAGATGATAATTAAGTATATATCATATCATTAAGAATTGATAATTAAGTATATATCATATCATTAAGAATTGATAATTAAATATATATCATATCATTAAGAATTGATAATTCAAGTATATATCATATCATTAATAGTAATAGAATCATATTGGATGATCATTGATAAATTAGTGTTAGTATTTGTTTGATAATAGAATAAACAAAACAAAAAACAATAAACAACAACAAAAACAAAAACAACAAAAATCTTATTAAATGATCATTGATAAATTAGTGTTAGTATTTATTTGATAATAGAATAAACAAAACAAAAAACAATAAACAACAACAAAAATCTTATTAAATGATCATTGATAAATTAGTGTTAGTATTTATTTGATAATAAAATAAACAAAACAAAAAACAATAAACAACAACAAAAACAAAAACAATAAAAATCTTATTAAATGATCATTGATAAATTAGTGTTAGTATTTATTTGATAATAAAATAAACAAAACAAAAAACAATAAACAACAACAAAACAAAAACAACAAAAATCTTATTAAATGATCATTGATAAATTAGTGTTAGTATTTGTTTGATAATAGAATAAACAAAACAAATGAGATCAAACAGTGTAATGAACTAAATTAAAAAAAAAAACACTAAATAATTTACAGATTTCTTCTTTACCATCCATTTTTGGGTTATTTGCCATTCACAAAATCAGCAATTAAATTTGGTATTTATCAAATTTTAAATTGAAAAAAAAAAAAAATTTGAAAATTTGAAAATTGAAAGTTACTGAAGATTGAGAAAATCTAGTTTTTATTATTTTTGATTGAATGAATAAATGGATGAAAATTCGTAATATTTGATAATTACGAATTCATTTTTCATTTCAATCAAAATTAACAAATAATTAAAGAAAAAGAATTTATCAAATTGTAAAAAAAAAAAAAAAAAAATTTTTTTTATTAAAATTAACAAATTTGATAGCGTTTATTTCAATTCAAAAAATTGCTTTCAATTTTTTTTTTTTTTTTTAATTTAAAAATTAACTTTGAAAGAAAAAAAAAAAGAAAGAAAGAAAGAAAAAAGAAAAAAATGAAAATAATTTTGATAAAATTTCAAATTTATTTTGCAAACAAAAGTATTTAATTTAAATACTTTAAAAAATTACTTTTTGCAAAAAGTTAGTTTTATTAATTTTAAAATTTCATTTCTCTTCAATATTCAAATAATCAATGAAAAAAAATATTTAAATGATATTAACTAAAACAAATTTTTTTGATTTAAGAAAAAAAATTTTTTTTTTAAATTAAAAAATAAAATTATAAAAAAGCAAAAGCAAAAAAAAAAAAAAAAAAAAAAAATTTAATTATTTCATTTGTAAATAAATAACACATTTACAATTAATTAATTATGCAAAAATATTTAACTATTTTGCAATTTTACTAAAAAATTTGTTTACTTTTAATAAAATTGTTTTTTGTTTACTCTTAACAAATTTTTTTTTTTTTTTGTTTACTTTTGCAATAAAATTGTTTATCATTTTAATATATAATTTTTTGCAAAAATAATAGCAAAATTAATTTAATTTAAGCATTTTTTTTTCTTTCTTCTATTTTTTCTTTTGTTGCAATTTAATAAGCATAAAAAAAAAAAAACAATTTGTTTATTTTTTTTTTTCTTAGAAAAAATTCAAATTTATTTTTTTAAGAAAACAAAAAAAAAAAGTGTATAATTTAGTGTATTTATCACTAAAAGATATTAAATTTTTATTTAAGTAAATTTTTAATTACAAAATTTTATGTAAAATTTGAATAAAAAGGAAATAAAAAACTTAAATACTTAATTTTTATTACTTTCTTTTTTCGTTCTTTTTTTGTTTACTTTAATTTTTTTTTGGAAATGTCAAAAAATTTGTGACATTTCTAAATTATCGATGTGTGTCCAATGAAGCATATAAAATTTATTTTAATTTTTGATTTGAAATCGTATGATAAAATTAAATAGTGCGTAAATAAATTATTTAATACAAATAAAAATAAATTTCAATTTCATTTTTTTTTTTAATTTAATTCTTTTATGGTAAATATTTGTATTTATGTAAAAGTATAATAAATAATTTAAACTTTACAAAGTTTTTTTTTTAACCAAATCAAAGTTTATTTTTAATTAAATCAAAGTTTATTTTACAAAGTTTATTAATGAAAACTTTTGGTAAATATTTGTAAAAGTAAAATAATTAATTTAAACTTTACAAAGTTTTTTTTTTTTAATCAAATCAAAGTTTAATTAATGAAAACTTTTGGTAAATATTTGTAAAAGTAAAATAATTAATTTAAACTTTACAAAGTTTTTTTTTTAACCGAATCAAAGTTTATTTTTAATCAAATCAAAGTTTATTTTTACAAAGTTTATTTAATGAAAACTTTCGGTAAATATTTGTAAAAGTAAAATAATTAATTTAAACTTTACAAAGTTTATTTTTATAAAGTTTATTTAATGAAAACTTTTAAATAAACTTTGTAAATGTCGCATTTTTGAACTTTGACTTTATATCGCATATAATATTATATAATTTTTTTACATAAATTTAAAATTATTTGTTAAAAAAATTTTTGTTTTTTTCTTTTTGGTAATAATTTTATTAAAATAAAATATGCAATTGTGATTTTTTGTTAATAATTAAAAATTAAATTATCATATTAAGAATTTAATAATTATCATATTTAATTATCATTTAATAATTATCATATTAAAAAAATTATGTAGCTGATAACTGATAAGTGAGCGAAAATGATTAGAGTTAATATCAGTGAATTTTAGGATGAAAAAATTAAAATTTGAAATAAAAAATTAGAAAAAATAAAATTTGAAACAAAATTTATTAATTATAATGAATTGACAATATATTAGATTAAAAATTAAATTATTATAATATATAAAATAAAAAAAAAAAATGACTGTATTAATTAAAAATTAATTAATTAAAAAGTTAAATTTGACTTGATGCTAAATATTTTTCAGTATCGAAAAATGAAAAATAAAGCATTAAAAATACAAAATTTAAATTTCAAATATTTGAAAAGAATTAATTGAACACAGATTGCTTAATAAAAATTAAAAATAAAAATTAAATTTAAAAATAAAAATTAATAATTCATTCGTAGATAAAAGTTCCATTCTTTTTTTTTTTAAAAAAAAAAACTAATTTTGATAATTTAAAGAGAAAAAAAATATTTGAGAAAAAAAAAAAAGTGAAATATTTTGATAAATCAGAAAAAAGATTTATTAGTTTTGAATTAAATTATTCTAATAGAGCTAAAAATTTGAATTAAATTAAATTTTTTTTTTTTTTCAATTAGTTAAGTTATTTGATTTCTTATCATTACTACTAATTATTTTATCAGTGTTATTTATCACTAATTACTGATTATCATTGTTATCATTATTTAAATAACTTAATTTAATCATTCAATAGAGCTAGAAATTTGAATTAAATTAAATTTTTCATTCAATTAGTTAAGTTATTTGATTTCTTATCATTACTACTAATTATTTTATCAGTGTTATTTATCACTAATTACTGATTATCATTGTTATCATTATTTAAATAACTTAATCATTCAATAGAGCTAGAAATTTGAATTAAATTAAATTTTTCATTCAATTAGTTAAGTTATTTAATTTTTTATCATTACTACTAATCATTTTATCAGTGTTATTTATCACTAATTATTGATTATCATTACTTACTTTTTTTGTAATTAAAAATAAGCGAAAGAATTTCTCTCAAAAGTTAGTAAAAATATTCGTTTTTTTTTTCTGTGCTTAATAAATAATTAACAATATTTTCATGCTACTAACTAAATTAAAATGATTAATTTAAAAATTATACTGATAACACTGATAACACTGATAATTTTGTTATCACATAATTAATATCAATTAAAAATAAGCGAAAGAATTTCTCTCAAAAGTTAGTAAAAATATTCGCTTTTTTTTTCTGTCCTTAATAAATTATTAACAATATTTTCATGCTACTAACTAAATTAAAATGATTAATTTAAAAATTATACTGATAACACTGATAACACTGATAATTTTGTTATCACATAATTAATATCAAAAAAAATATCTAACGCAAAAATAAAAAAATAGGAAAAAAGACAAAAAAAAAAAATGCATCAATTTTTTGACAAACATTTTGCTACCACATTTTATTATATATAATAAAATAGCAAAAAAAAATTGTTTGAAAAGAATTTGTTAGAATTAAAAATTAGAAAAAAAAATTTAAATAAAAAAAAAAAAAAAAAATTGAAAATATATTTGATTAAATTGAAATTCAAAAAAAAAAAATTTGTTATAAAATTTGCTTTTCTTTATGGATCATTTAATTTTATTCATTTTCAATAAAAAATATTTTTATTTCATTCATTCATTCATTTTTTTTTTTCTTCTTTCTCAATCAATTTCACATCAATTAATTCAACAAATTTAGGATAAAAAAAAAAAAAAAAAAAAAATAATTTAAAAAAAAAATAATTTAAAAAAAAAAAAAATTTTTACGATAACTTTGACAAGGAACAAGTTAATTTAATTTGTAACTATAGGTCGATTAATGAATTAAAAAAAAAAAAATTTCCGGTTAAGTTTGATTTCCTATTACTCATATTTGATTATTCCGGTTAATGAATTAAAAAAAAAGCTCCGTTTTAGTTAATTTCCTATTACTCATATTCCGGTTAAATTTGATTTCCTATTACTCATATTTGTTTATTCCGTTT